TTTTTTTTTTTTTTTTTTTTTTTTTTACTGCAGTCCCTTCATTTATGTTAAATGACTGACTGATCATGTTAAGGCACAAGTTCAAATTCAATTTCTTTCCCTCCCACACAAATGTTAAAAAGTGTCCCTCATCAACATGTAAATGTAACGTGTGCATAAATATATCAAGAGGGGCAGATAAAGCTGAAGCTCGTGACAGTGCGAGTTTCATGGTTTTGTCAAGTTTACAATGCATGAATAGAGACTTCACGGTCCTCTAAACCATGGTCTGCACCAATGCCGTGCTAAGTGAAGTATCTCTTGTTGGTGCCAAAACATTATCATTAGTGTTCAATAAATCATTTCTTTGAAACAGAATACAGCGGAGCCCCCATTTAAGGTGTTCTCTTGGGAGTGGAGGATTCAAACATTAAACTGTGGAAAATCTTAAACAGAGGAAATTTAACACTCAGATACTGACTCTGGATCATTTAAACTAAACATTAAATCAAGGAATATTAAATGGGGGTTCCCCTGTATTTGGGAATTGACACACAGGTCTTCCTTGATTTTCAAACAATAATAATAAATCATGGTTTCTATCAACTCTAAAATATCTATAGCTTGGTTGGCTAACACAGATCTCGAGTGGCCTAGTCTAGTGAACAGTTTTCCACAAGTAAACATAAATGTTCTTTCTAACTACAGTTAAAGGTATTCATAATTGTGGAATGTATTAAGAAACTAGCCAAATATCTGCATTAAGTTAATGGAATAGAAACAGAAATCACTGAAATCTATGTGCAAACAACAGTGGGTTGAAATGCTTTTAGAGTCTAGTAATGACATATCTATTAAATTGCATCTATAATGCCGATTAGATGGAGAATGGGGGTCTCATATCATAAAGATAAAAAACTTTGTAGTGATAAGTTTTGTTTTATCCTGGCCAGACATTTGTGGAGTTCAGGGGTTGGACAGAGGGGCCCCATAAAGAAGAGTACCATGTGACAAAATTTTTCGGGCTCTTGTGAACATACTAATAAACGTTAAGGTTCCATAAAAGGTAGTCAATTTAACTTGCTGAGTGACTATTACATTCTCAAGGACTGTACCCCAAGGCGTTTAGTTAGTCCAAATTTAAAATATCCTTAATATCTTAAAACAAACTCCATGGCCTGTAGTCCACAAGTGAACTATACTGACCGAGCGACCGCTGCTGGTCGGCGAGGTTAATGCCAACTTTAGCAGATAGAGGATGTCACGTGGTCAGCACAATGGATCCCCATGGCTGTTAATTTCGGTTTTCTATACTGGAACCACTATTTCCTTGAAATAGCTCCTCAATTAACCTCACAAGGCTGAGTGGACCCCATTCCAGACCCACTACTTCTCTGAAAATATGGTAGCGCTGGGAATGAACCCAGGACCTCTGGATCTGTAGCCAGGAACTCTGACCACTAGACCACAACCTCTTAATACATACATAAATAACTAATTTAATAGCAGCATGTAAAAATGTTACCTTTATATGTTTTGACAATTACTGGTCATCATTACAAGGCTCAGCAAACATTACAAAGGAATTACTTTACATATGTTGTTGTAGAGCATAGGTTGTTACTCTCTGTCTGCTCATCTAGACTTGTTAACCTACTTTAACTGTATTAATGTGATTATAAGTCGCTGTGGTACTACAGTAACAACCTATGCTCGACAACATACATAATTCTTTCATAATGTCGGTTATGCCTCTTGATGACGGTCAAAACATGTGAAGTCAAAATTGTTTACTTACTCCTGTTAAATCAGTTACATCTGATGAACTTCAACCATTTATTACTGATTTACAAATGTAAGAAAGAAAGGTTCTTGTTAATACATTTTTTCAATAAATTTCTCCAATGGAATCCCACATTTGTTTATTCACTACTGGATATCTTTGACTAACATGTAGTTGCTTTCAGCCAAAATATCACTAGGTATGGGACCTTCACATTCTTCCACTGTAAGAATTAGCATATCCTGCAAAGCATATTATGAATTATTCCTCCACACGTCTCAGTAAAATTTGCTACATGCAAAGTTCCTTAAACTCTGACCATCCTTACAATCGGCAGTCATATACAACAGAATTAACAAGATGCATATAATTTTATGAGCACAAAGCCCACTTTGCTTTGATCTTCATGCTCTACCTACTTTTACATACAGGGAACACGTCAACTTGTTGACGTTTATAGAAAGCTACTCCTGAAGTGAACATGATCTAATGAAACTGGTTCATTTTTGTTCTCTTCACATCAGCTTACCTATAGTATCTAAATGCAACAAATATAAAGCTCAGTCATTTGTCACATGTCTCGATAGCACATGTGCATAAATCTTTCATTTCTACATTTCGTTCACCAAATTGATGTGGGCTGGATTCCAACCATGGCAAGTAAATGGAGTACAAGCAGGGACAATGAAGAACTTAACAAGGGACATTATGTAGAAACAACATAATTCAGTACCACCTGCAGACATTCTCCTAACCTGATTTATGCTCATTTTCAAAATCCAAATACGTTATTATTTTATGGACAGCTCAGTTATATTGATGGGCTACAGGCTGGATGGCAACAGAGGCAAGAGATTTTTCTCCTCTCCACACCTTCCAGACCAGCTCTGGGACCCATCCAGCCTCCTGTACTACTGATACTGTGGTCAGGATGTGAAGCTGAGCACTCATCTCCAGCTAGTGCTGAGGTCAAGAGAGGTGGAGCTATACCTCCCACTTCACAGCATGGTGCTCAATGAATTAGGCATACAAATAGTGCCATATCTCTGAGAATGAATACAATATTACATACAACCAATAAGTTACATAACTCACATCCTGTGGCTTACTCTTAGCATAATCAGGCAAAAACTTCTGGCTGCCTTCACAGAAGATTCACAGACCAAGGGAATAATGCTAATATTCTGTTCACAAACAGAATGTGCTTCATGCAAAAACGACAATGAATTGGAGGAACACTGTTTGCTCATATCTCGCATTATCTGTTCCTCACGTTTTGTGTTCCAGATTTTCTGCTGTCAGCGGAGGGGTTGACGCAGCTTTCAGTCCTGGCTTCAGATCCCACCCCACATGGACATGTGCGTTGAAATCATCATTACTTATCACTTCCCTCTCTTAGTGCATCTGCCATGGAACCATAGAGTTCAGCTCAATCTCCGTTAAGTCCGATCAGTAGGAAATGCCATCAGTGACACAACTTATCAAGGTAATAGACATTTATAATAACTGAACGTGACAACGTAGGAGATGGAAATGTTACTGTACCCTTGTTAAAGTTTTTCATCTTGGTGTCTTTGTGAAAGGATTAAGGAAATTTGTGGGAGGCTGTCCCTGTTCCTTGTACCATATCATGAAGGCATACAGGCAGCTTGGAGGTAAAGCTACACCCAAGCAGTCAGCTTAATGCAGGCTATTACCTCAGTATGCACAGTCTAGGAGGGTGGATGGGTGGGCTCCAGAGCTGTTCTAGACAATGTAATAAATAGAAAAATCAAAATATCCCCACTATGATCTTCATCTTTGCTACTGAGTCCACATCCAGAAACATATTATTAAACTAATATTCACTCTACAGATGATATTAAAATACAACCTTGGTATCTACAGCAACAGAACATATGATACTTCTGCAACTTTCTTCCTAGGAGGTGAGGTAAGTATACTCACATTAACAGATTATCACAGTATGACAGTGTTAAAAACTGAGACCACTAAACTGTCCCTGTGATAGACAGATCCACTCCTTGCACTCCATACAACTTTGCCTTAATAAATATATCTTCCTCGCATCTAGCAAAGAAACTAGCCAGTTGTATTGTTTCTAAAATATTAATTATTTGAGAAAATGCTATCAAAGACAAAGACGCTGCAAGATTTCAGTCTCTTTCAGAACATACATAATCTGAGAAAGAGAGGGACCCATGACAGCAGCATTTCTGGGTTGCCAGCTACTCGATTCCAGTTCACGCTTCCTTCTGTATATAAAGGTGACATCCAAACAAAAATAGAGTAATTGAACCACAATGGTGCTTACAAGAATGAAACAATAAATTATGTGGAATGTGATTTAAATACCATGGTGGCCCAAATGAGCGATGGAGGGAGCAAATGGTGGTACATGTACACCAAATCACTGTTGAAGTCCACCATCATATGCATAGTCTGCCTTATTGTGCATGATGAGACGATCATCTACAAAATAGAAGCTGTCCGAACGTGTCTCAAAGGGGTAAGATATCATCTCCTTGACTGGAAACAACAAACACATTAATTCATCAACTAGGTGAAAGCCAAAGTCAGTGAAGAGATACTAAATATTCATCTATTATTCCTAATTAGAATGGAAAAACATGTTCCAGTTTGCAGTACATATTGTCACATGTACCACAGTGACTAAAGACAGGGTTCAATTAATAATTGGATTTATTAACCACCTATAGGTTGTAACTACAATTTATTATACTATTACTATTACTTCGTCCTGGTCATATCTCTTGCGACTGTGTCCCCTGTGCCATGCCACTCTTGTACTGCGGGTCATCTGCTGGCTGTGGCCAATTCCTTCCACAGTCCACAATTTCCCTGAAGATGTTTCTCTTGTGCCATGCCACTGCTGCACAACAGGACACCTATCTGCAGGTGGCAGCCAACTTCCTCCAGGATCCGCAATCTCCTTGGCTCAGTTCCTTTGGCTCTCCATGTTGCCCTACAGCTAGATGCCAGCCCATGCGACTTCTTCATTGTTCCCAAAGATTTCACTGTGGTCTCTTCCATAGGGACCTCCTGAAGTTCCACTTCAGATTCAGCTTCTTACTGTCCAAACATGCCACTGTCATTACTTGGCAGGACATTGTCTCTTTTAGATCTTTTTCCATGTCTGCTATCCAGGCATTAATTATGGATCTCATTTCCACTTGGCCAAATTTGATCTCTCTCTCATTTCCTTTAGATTTGCGTCCACTTTTTCTTGCATTGCTTTTGTATTGGCATCCAATCCTGGCATCGATTTTTGCCACCAGACATTCCATCGTTTGTTCCATCTCCATAATGTGGCAGTATGCTATCCAATGCAATCATAAATCCAATAATCTGATCAGTCTTATCCAATCCATACCACTTTTGACATCAGTTGTTGTGTGTATCACAGTGACTGAAGACAGGGTTTGGATTGGTTATTGCATTTATTAACCACCTACAAGTCGTAACTACAATTAATTATTACATTATTACTGATTTTCACACTACAAAGTAGTCGCTAATCTCTTCAGTCTATCTGCCCTAGTCTTCACGGATTTATAACACAGGAACTATAAAAGTATTACTAAATCACATGCTCCCAATACCACCGTCAAATCACATGTTAAACCCTCACAGGCTGACCTCTTGTTCTCTTCTGTACTCTCAAGCTTACTGCCATCCTCTTGTTTGCATGCTTCTGCTGCTACTACTCACTCAGAACTGCCCTGAATGATTTCTGTCACTCTTACTTATATAGCCATGGAATGGACATGGATCTACATATCACATGATCACTATCCAGCCAGTCTATTGGCACATCAGTCAATCTGCAGAAAACACAGCTTCCTCTACTGTTGCATGATGGACCATGTTTACAGAGCTGTTGCCTGGCAATGCACTGTTCAAATCTGCTACAATATATTTTCCAAATAAATTCTTTATGGCCTAGCATTCCCCATATATGTTCATTTATTGCTTTAAATAAAAGTTCCAGATCTTGATGAGCTCTATGCTGTATGTGCATGTCACATTACTGATATTTTAACAAAAGTGTTATGAAATCTGATTTAACTTCGTATTTGACTGAAAGAGACCAAATAAAATTTGCTTTGCAACTTTTAGTGCAGAATATCAACACCAAGCTTCATGCAAATATACTTACTTTTAGAGATATAATATAGAGACAGGCATGATCACTCACGACGTGTTCATTCTGCATAAGGAATTGCCACGAATTTTCTCCGGTGAAATGAATGTTACAATCAAAAAGTAGAAGCTGATCAAAATGTGCTTTGTCAGAATTTTCATATTCCTGTGAATGCAGCACTTTTATAAATGTTATTATTTATATGGAGTAGATAAAGATAGTTCCAAAGGAGACTACCATGATCTAAAATTACTATGTTATCCTTTCTCAGGGCCCTCAAGACTACAGAGGGTTGTATCACTCACCTAGATCAGGTGCGAGTGTGGGGAATTCATATATGTGCTCACATGTGTTCTTGCTGTTTGGAATACAGAATCCAAATTCAAAGTCAAAACTCTTGAGCAACTTGTCCCTGAAGAAATGACGTTCAATCATTCGAAATTTACTCACTGCTTTATTGCCCACTGTGAATTCCACACTGCAACAAATAACCATTTTTTTTAATGGCTTACAATTCTCAGTTCTGAAAGAAATAAAGTCTCTTTTCAAGACTTGATCACAGATAAGGCAAGAATTACTAAAATTACTGAAAGAATATAACTAAGGTTACTTTTGTGCTTGGCTAAAAATTAACAAAAAGTCAAGTGATACTAGATATTCTCATGGTTACTGACTGCAAAGATTAGTCTTTCGGGATATGACATTGTATATCCAGTTACCCTAAAAATGGAAGCATGTTCCTCTGAAACACTAGTGCCTATTTGCCAAACTACATGGCGTCACATCCAAAAATACAGTATTCAACAAAGATTAATTAATTGCAGGAAGACAAACTGGCCTTCACAAATCTTCCACTTATAAAATATTCACATACATTCTGGCATAGTGGTAACATTCTAAACCTTCAACCAGAAAATATCCTATTTGAATTTTGGCTATTCTGAAAGACGGTTTTTGTAGTTTTCCCAGTGTCTCTTGAAGTGAACCTTAAAACAGGCCATGACTGTCTTCTTCAAGATCTGTATCATTCTTGATAATTTTCCTACCTTATTTAATGCTACATGCATTTTTCTAATCATATATTTTTATTAATAGATGCATGCAATCCTTCACTGAAGTCCTGCAATCGATATATCTTAGTGTGACCAAATGCAAAACTCCTAGGCACTCAGTGGTAACTATGTGTCCCCTACTTGAACACTAAAAAACACTGCATTCTACCAGAACATATTTATGCATTTCCTACATTTCTCAAAATAAAGTGCAGGTACCTCCATAAAAATTAGCTCATTGATATAATTTATTCATTGTGCATTCATTAACAAAACACTTACGTAGCTCCTACAGTTTTCAATTTTAGAAATTGTGGTGTGAACTGATATCTGACAAAGCGACCAGCATTTGGATCCAGCTCCTCTTGTTCTGGTTCTGGATCAGCCTCTTCTGAATCTTTATGTATACAGAAACAAAGAAATAATACTGACAGGTCATATCAATAATGGTAAGAATGCACATACAGTGCATGCAACTGATATAACAGTGCTACTGTACCTGTAGAAGGTGGCTTTGCAATTTCAAACAGGACTGTACCACTCTCCAAATCACGAATTTTGAAACGCGTGAAGTCAATATCATAGACATTAGCTTCAGGTGAACACAGATAATCTGAAATACACAGAATCAAAGTTTTATAATGGAACTATCATAATAAATTAATACGAAAGAATATCATTATACTAACTTTCTGTTATTCTTGGAAGCCGTAACACATCCTCAGGTGAAACAAATCCCTTCTTAGCCAGTGATTCTTCTGTAACCGGATCTGTGAGAGAAACATACTTAAATGGTTGGGTAAAACATTTCAGCTGACAAATGTACTTCAGTTGATCGGAAAATGGCAAGCTTCAAGTTTATACAATACATCACACGGCCTACCAACAAACAAAATATAAGCAAGTACCTCCATCTAAAATTACAGTATCTTTACGTGCTTTGGCTTGTCTGACACCGACATTTGTAACCACACTCTTTTTGTGTGGAGCGTTACTCATAACACTCATTTCTGACTATTTTTAAACTCCTGCACCGTATATTGTTTAGAAATGATTACTCCAAGGACCACATAAACTACGCACAGTTTCCCGTATGAAGACAAAACATTACATAAATAAATAAAAATATAAACAACAGTAACGTTATTTTCACCAATCAATCACAAACCAGTTTTGGATCTGCTGAACTCTAATTCAAATAAATACCAAAAGATTTCGCATTAAAGTATGTAACAGTTGTTCAACTGTTTCCCTGTAACTTTGTGATCCGTGCTTCGTAATTTGAACATGTTATCTACGATTCGAGCCAAGGGAGAACCAGTGAGAGTAGATCACTGATCGGATCAGTCTTCTATCTGGCCCAAGGTACACAGTACTCGCCCGACGTGACCCCTAAGTTACCATAGTATCGATGTATGTAACCGTTGGTTCACGTGATTGAAAGAGTGCGATTTGATTGGTTATGATTTACTCCAAATATGGCCGGTTTGAACGGAAGGACGATGGTATAGGGCATGTAGAAATGTAAAAGAAATAAGAAGACTTAAACTCTCTGCTCTTAATAATAGCATGAATAAGCGCAGAGAGCATCACGTAGTAGTTTCCAGGTAAGTGAACATTGTTATTTTTAAGAGGAATTATTTAAGCTTCGATAATACAGGCAATGGTTTGCCCGCCCCACAGCAGCCTATTTTTTTTATTGGTAGTGGGGTGAGACGTAAGTCCCTTGTACTGCGGTCACTTCTGGCCAATTGTACCAGCCCCAGATGATAGGTGAGGGTGATTTAGGAGCAATTGGTGGAATGAAGATTGGCAGGGGAAACCGAAGTACTTTGAGAAAACCTGCCCCAGCGCTACTTTGTTCACCACAAAACCCACTTGATCGAACTTCGGCCACTGCGTTTGGAAGCCAGCGACTAACCGCTTGAGCATGGTGCAGCCAACAGTGAAAATTACAAATGTGTCTGTGGGTATCATGGTGTTTTGCCTGTTGCTGAAATGTAGAGGACAGTTATTGTTGACTGGGAATTTTGGTTGGACAAGAGTTTGGAAATGGAAAATAAGCATAAGTTCTTCCATGAAATTTTTGATATATAAGTAGTGCAGTGCATATGTAAGGGAATGGAAATTAATTTCCAATTTTTAAGGAGCTAAAGTCTTTACTTTTATATATTTTTACATTGTTCTAATATGGAGATATCTTTGAACAAAATTTACTTGGTGTATGTTTATTATTAGTACCTTTTCTTTAGGCCAGTTTGTATACCAGCAAATACTTTATCTGTATTGACAAGCTTGTCGGAAGTCTCACACATCTACCATTGCACTGTATTTTTCAATCTTGAGGCAAAAACTGAACCTGAGAGTACCAGCAAACATGTTTGTGTGTGTGTGTGTCGGGGGGGGGATGTGCTAAGTATTATCATGCAGGAATGTTATGTAACCATAAATTTTTTGTGTCATTGCAAGCCACATAGAAGTTTTACATTTTGTTGAAATTAAAAGTGGGTCAAGTTTGATACAGATTTGCATGCAAATCAGAATCTGTTTTTAATGCTGTTCATGTAATTGTTTCAGGCCTGCGACTCACCAGCATGAGACTTCAAGTGACTTGTCTGCCATAAGAGGAAGGAGTTGTTGCTGTACAGTCATAACAAGCAAGTTACAGCATTTCTCTGACGTCCATTATGCTGTTCTGTCATCCATGCATGGCTCTTTCAGATAGCCTTTTCTCTTGCAGCTATGCCACCAGAATCTCTGCATGTCAAGACTGAAGTGAAAATCTGTGCGTGTCAGGACTGAAGTGAAAATCAGTGCATGTCAGGACAAGTGAAAATCTGTGCATGTCAAGAATGAAGTTAAAATCAGTGCATGTCAAGACTGGAGTGAAAATCATTGCATGTCAAGACTGAAGTGAAAATCAGTGCATGTCAGGACTGAAGTGAAAATCTGTTCATGTCAAGACTAAAGTGAAGATCTGTTCATGTCAAGAATGAAGTGAAAATCAGTGTATGTCAGGACTGAAGTGAAAATCTATACATGTCAAGACCAAAACATGATAGGAAGATACTATTACAGTATTACAGGACAGTATTACAGTATGACCATGTCAGGCTGATGCTTATTTGTCCAACAAATTGCCTCTCGTGCTTTACTATGTTTGCATGTAGGAGGGTAACACACATGCATGATATCATCTGACTTTGTGTCTTGCTTTAATGCCATCAATGCGCAGCATCGGTTACTATTCACTTGCTTTTCTTTATTGACACTACATGTTTCGGCCCAACCAGCCATCTTCAGGTGTACAGGTTGTTGTGATTGCAGAATCTGCTGCTGCTCACTGTAATGCTGTTTTGTTTCTGTTATGTGGAGCCTTCGGATTGCATCTGGTTATGTGGGTTAGTCAACCACAGCACAACAAATATGCCCAGCTCAAGGACACCTAAACAAAAATCAGATGGTTAACCCACATAACCAGATGCAATCCAAAGCCTCTAGTACATAACAGAAACAGAACAACATTACAGTGAGCAGCAAGTTCCTTGATCACAACAACCTGTACACCTGAATAGGCCGAAACATGTAGTGACGACAAAGAGAAAACTGTGAGAGAATGTTAACTGACATTGCACACAGACGTTATCAAAGCAAAGTGCAAAGTCAGATCTAAGCAGTGCAACAGGATGCTGCAATGTAACATTATGCCTGATATCAGTATTTATATAAAATTCATTCATGGTCTTCTGGCTTATGATATGGTTACCAAAGTTTTCTGCTGGTCTGTTGAAGCCAGGCAACACAGTGTCATAACTCAGGAGACCAGAATATGATTTTTCAGCATCATGAAAGATTAAAATTGTTTGTATATTCAAATCTGGTGGATACTGTAAGGAAGTAATCACTAAACCATAGTAGTTCTCTTTTTCCTTATAAAGGAAAGAACTTGAGAGGTAAAGCTATCCTGGTTGAGGCACTATGCTACAAGCCGGAAGGTCACAGGTTCAAGTCCCAAAGAGGTCATTGAATTTTTTTCATTTGACCTGATCCTTCCAGCCGCACTATGGCCCTGGGGATGACTCAGCCTCTAACAGAAATGAATACCAGGAATTAATTAAATAATTTTCCTGGGGAGTAAAGCACGGCTGGTGTGTAAGGCTGACAACCTTACCGCCATCTTTGAGCCGATTGTCTAGATAATGTGGGACCATCAACGTCTCACAACCCTATGGGCCTTCTCGACCTCTTGCAGGGCTAGCTTTACTTACTTTTTACTTACTGTGTAAAATTGTTTGTATATTCAACTCTGGTGGATACTGTAAGGAAGTAATCACTAAACCATGGTAGTTCTGTTTTTCCTTATAAAGGAAAGAATTTGAGAGATAAAGGTATCCCTATAACAGGCCATGGAGGCCCCTAGGGTTGTCAGATGTCAGTGTTCCCACATTTTCTGTAGGCAGTCAGCTCACAAATGGCAGGAAGGTTGTCAGCCTTATGCGCTGGCTACCCTTTGCCCTCCCCCCCCCAGTGAAGATTGCTGGTACTCATTTCTGTTAGAAGCCAATTACAGACACTGCACAGTGTAGATAAAAGTAATTGCATATGGACAAACACAACATAAAGTCGAAGACTAATTAAATGTAAGCACTGGAGCAAAGACACATTAATGCAGTTAATGTAATTAATAATTCAATTCAGTTCATGTTTATTTATGTGCAAACTTAACAGCACAGAGGCCAGTTAAAAGGTTAGGATGAGTACATAGAAATACACAGAAATAATTAAAAAACAAAATACAAAATTTTAGAGTCTGTATAATGGCAATAAATGGATAATAATTCCAGGGAGGTAAATCTGTAAGTAATGGAGCGAATAAGGCCTAAAAGCTTTATGATTTGCTTTGTCTATATTCCCATTGTTGTATGTTGCAGTTCTCACAGGCAACACATTTTGATGGAGTGTGATATGGGAGTTCCATAATGAAACCTGTCTAATGCATTATATCAGCTTCCACTTTTGTTGGTCTAAATCACATTCATATATATCTTACAGAAGTGTTAGAAATTACAAATGTTTGCTAAGGTTTTTGTGTATATGTAAAATGGACTCTGTATGCTTGCGCCTTACCTCTCTTCTGCTAGTTTTTATCGAATAAAGTATAGCCAGTGATATATCTTTCCCAAAACTCATCCTGTAAACTGTGGCTCTCATATCTGCATACAGTATCAGCATGTGACAATTTGGATCGACCAGTGGACTTTTCTAAACACCTCGTAACTTGAAAAACTGTTGTCTTCTTAGATGTGAGGCCATGTAGACTGGTAGAATGTTACCACCACTTTGAAGGAACATGTAAAGTGATAAGACCCTGAAGATGGAGGCCTCACAGTCCTCAGAAATGTTGGTAACATTCTACCAGACTACATGGTGTCACATCCCCGAAGACTTGTTCACTTAGAGAGTATACATTGTAATTGCACATACAGGGAATGCACAGTCATGAGCAGATAACAGTTGGTTTTGACTTGACATGACAGTTAGGTGTAGGAATTGAGAACTGAGAGTTGCGTGTTGTGTTTTTGTCGATACTTCTGAATTGCATGGCGACAGTGAGGAGGCTATGGCTGGTACTTGGAATGAAGAGTACAGCATTCTGAGTTGTAGCAAAGTGTAGTTCAGAGAGAGCCCCGCGTTTTGGAGGTGACATATTCTTCCTAAACATTGGGCTGTCTCCAAACTACACGTTGCTACAACACAGGACCCTGAACTCCTTATAGACATTACCATGAAAGCATCAAATCAAACATGGTACTAGGAATGTCTGTGTAAGATATGCAAGTTGCTGTCTGATTGCAGAGATAATTGAAAGTATAAATTGGATAGGAACTGCTGCAGCTTTGGGGGTTGGTGGGGAGATGTTAAAGCATTTTTCTAATTGGTACAGTTAGAAATTTCTTGGCAGCTAATTCCTCATTAATCTGACAAGCCATATTGGACAATTTAGGCACCGTATTGATGTAGAATTCTGTAATACAAGTTTGTGGAAGTATGACTGCCATAACTCGGCTATTGTAAAGACAGATGGGCTGCTGCATAGTGAAAGCAATATGAATCGCTTCGTTGAATTGTAACATAATCCATAGAATGTTTGACAGTTTAGGACTTACGCTGTTGCAAGATATTTTACATTTGTTTTATCCAAAAATTATA